CTCTCTGCCCCTTTCTTCCTCTCTTCTCCCTCTGGAAAGCTATAATCCTTATGTTGCTTTTTTTAATTGAGTTGGATATTTCTTGAAGACTTCCTTCATTTTTTTAAAATCTTAGTTCTCTCTCCTCCTCCACCTGCAGCATTTCTATATAGCTATCCTCTAAATCACTAATTCTTTCCTCCATAATGTCAGCTCTCTTTCATAAATCTAGATCTTTTAAATCTTCTTAGTTGTGTTCTTCCTATCCAAAATTTCTGCTTGGTTTTTTTTTCCCAGAGTTTCAATCTCTTTGGTGAAGTATTCCTTTTTCTCATTAATTTTATTCCTGAGCTCATTGAACTATCTTTCTGAATTTTCTTCTAACTCTGAGTTTTCTTATGACAGCTATTTTGAATTATCTGTCATTTAGATTGTAAAGTTCTGTGAATTCAAGGTTGGTTTCTGGAGATTTGTCATTTTCCATCTGCTTTGAATTCTTGCTGTAGTTTCTCATGGTGTTTGATGAACTCATCTTTTGCCAGCGCGTTTGTTGTAGTATCAAGTCATAGGTTCGACCAGCTACCACTGGGGGGGGGAAGCAGGAGTAGTGTTTTCTGATCCCACCTCATCTGCTGGAGATGTAGGGTACAGTGTGTGCTCCCACAGACCAAGAAAGTTTTTGCCTGTGGGCTCCTGGCTGCTTCCCCCTCTTCTTACATTTGCACCAAAGCACCTTCCCAATTATGCAGCTGCAGCAGAACTTGGGGTGCTCACACCAGCAAGGAAAGTGTTCACATGCACACAGATATCTGCCACATCCTCTTCTTACTGTTGCACTGGCCGCTGTGCTTCATGGGTGGGCTTCATTGCAGGGTCCAAGCCTGGGCCACTTAGTGGGACTGCAGTGGCATGGTGGGCTCTCCCACTGGCCAGGAAAGCATTCATGTGCATACACAGGGCTTCCAGGGAAGATCTGGGGAGTGCTCACCTACTCCACCACTTCCTGCATAGCCAGCGCTTCCACCTTCAGATGTATAGCTGTGTGGGTCTCTCAGGCATCCTGTTGTGCTGTGTGGGTATCCTGCATTGGTCAATGAATGTCCGTTTAGTTGTAATTCAAAAAGGGAGAGATAAAGGGAACAGCACAAACCGCCATGTTGGTGACATCACTACCTCTCTGAAGTCTCCTTTATAAGGGCACTGATCCCATTCATGAGGGCTCCACCCTCAGGACCCCATCACCTCCCAAAGGCCCACCTCCCAACACTATTATCTATAGGTTGGATTTCCACGTATGAATTTTGAGGGGACACAGAGAGTCCACTGCATCCTGCATGTCCGCTTTCCTTTTCTGTCTTCCTAAAGATTAGTTTTCTCCATGCTGGGGATTCACCTCTTCACAGCTTTAACAGTGTGAGAGAGGCTGCCCTGATTTTCTGTGCTAAATACAAACTCTCAGATGCCCATTCCTGGACCCATTGACCGTGACCGTGGGGGCAAGGGTGCAGCTGCCAAGGGGGCCATATTGAGGTGGCAGAGGGGCAGTTTCCAGGAATAGAGGAGCTATTAACCAGGCAGATAAGATGATCAGTGGCTTCCACGACCATTAACTCATATGGATCAAGAATCATGTACCTTTAGAGATGAGGTAAGATTTGGCACTCTCACTGCTGCAGGCCAGGTTCGTTTTCCAGTCAGAGAACCGCACCACCCACCAGTTGTCATACTGTGGCAGCTGTGTGTTGCTATGAAGCTGAAAGCTATATCACTGTTATTTCAAATACCAGTAGGGTCACCCATGGTGGACAGGTTTCAGCAGAGCTTCCAGACTAAGACAGACTAGGAAGAAGGACCTGGCTGCCCACTTGCAAAATAATTGACCATGAAAACCATGTGAACAGCAGTGGAGCACTGTCTGATAGAGCGTCAGAGGTGAGAGGATGGCGCAAAATCACCAGGCAGGGTTCAGCTCTGTGGTCCACAGGGTTGTGAGGAGTCAGAATCCACTCCATAGCACTAACAACCACCACCTAGTTCTCTACCCTCTTGGTGCTTGGAAGCATCCCCGTTTTCTTAATAAGGACCATCACAGTTGCCAGAGTAACGAGCAGGAGTCCAGCCTCAGTCAAGGGCTGCCTGTGCCCATTGAATGTCTCGTGTACAATTGTTTGTGTGGTTCTGGAGACAACTAGAATCCAAAGGCAGCTCTGTGTCTTCGCAGTCGGTATTTCCTGCTGGGACAGATTGCTGTGCGACAGCTTACCTTTCTGGTCTTCTCCGCCTTATTCTCATTCCTTAACAAGCTTCTTCGTCCCTGGTGCTCCTGAGAGCTCTTTCATCTGCCCGACAGGGGAGCACATTTCTGGCTTTCTGGCTGCAGACTCCACACTGACACTCCTTGCTTTATAACAGGGGCACTCAGACCAGCAATACCTGAGATGATTTCAGATGCTATGGGAGCCACCCAGGGGTCCCTGCCCAGCTGAGGCCAGCACACTCACTGTGCAGTCCCAGGAGGACAGCCTGGCCCTTCTGGGGAGGGGGGCACACACCCAGCACTGCCCTTCCCTCCAAGTCACTTCCAGGTCACCCCATTGTGATCCCTCCTCAATAGCCCCCCCTCCCCCAAATCTCAGCTTTCCCCTCTGCATCCCCCCAGCCTTCCTCCCCCTGACTCTTTGGGGTCCACCCGCCTTGTGCCCAATTTCTCAGCAGCCCCTTCCCACGTGTCTTCTCTCACACGCCCTCCTCAGGCCATCCGCTTAGTCTCCGATCTCTGTCCTGCCCGTTCAACACCTCATGCAAACCCCGACACTGACGGCACCTCAGGGTCAGCACCCGCTCCCTCTCCCTCGGCTTCCTGTTGCACAGCCCTAGTTCTCTGTGCTTCTCTTCCAAAGCACTTACCATAGTCGTCATTCGTTAGTCAGTATGGTTAGTTCTCTGGTGTCCATTTCCTCCACTAGACTATAGGCTCCCGGCAGCCAGGGATGGGTCCTCCGTGTCCACTCCTCCATCCTCAGTGCCTAGTGGTGTGTCTGACACAGGTGGCTGCTCAGTACATTTGTGTTGAATGGATGAATCAATAAAGAAGGGACAGTAGCGCAGGTGCCAGAGATGCCGCAGGGGAGGGAAGCTGGTTCTGAAAGGAGAGATACAAATAGGAACAGAGCGTGTCTGAACTTAGAAACCAAAGGGCTCACAGGCACCTAGTGTGGAAAGCATTAGGATCCTGTCCTCGACTTGTGGACACGCCCACATATTTTCATGCACACATACACACATATACACACACACTGCAGTAAGAGCACATGTCCACAGATTTGCACGCACACATACACACATATACACACACACACGGCAGTAAGAGCACACGTCCACAGATTTGCACGCACACACACACACATATACACACACGGCAGTAAGAGCACATGCCCACAGATTTGCATGCACACATATATACACATGCATGGCAGTAAGAGCACACGTCCACAGATTTGCACGCACACATACACACATATACACACACGGCAGTAAGAGCAGTACCTCCCAATATGAAGCATGAAGATAGGTTGGTAACATTGAATCTCTACTCAGGATACATCCTGAAGTTGGAGCAGGAACAGGGACTAATATTTTGGCCAGAATTCGTTCTTGAGGCAAATGGCTCAATCAACTCAGTCGATCTGCAACTCAGCTCAACTGAAAGCAGGATCAATATTGATAGAAATCATGACATGGTCAGTTTGGTTTCAATGCCTCTAGCTCCCATCCAAGTCCTCTCCCATCCCTCTCCTCCAATCTCGAGCATTTTTATGCCTTCTCTAAACTCCTTGGAATCAAAAGAAGACCTTCCGAGAAGGAGCAGGCAAAAATTCTGTCTATAGTGTAAATGGCTGATAGGACAAAGTATTGCTCTTTCCAGGAACACTTGCACTTTGTAATAAACACCTTAAGCCACAGCAACAACGTTTGGGGTCCTTGTGCCCTCGTGATTGTATTCTACAGACAGCCACCTGTCTCACAAAGGTTGTCCCAACCTTCTATTCACTGGAAGGCACTTGACATGGCTGTTTTAGCACAAGACTCTTTTGCCAAAGGGACCTTTTCATGTATCATTTTGAAAAACCATTAGGCTTCCAACTATTAAAAAATTATCAAGTGATGTACCTAACATACATCTTCATTCCATCCCGTCCTCATCCCCACTCCTTCCTTCTCACCACTGATGACACTGTATCAGAGCTGCCAGATCACAACTGTCCTTGAGTCAAACATTCTGCTTCATGTCGAGTGGGTCTCCTTCTTGCAAGTAGGACGCCCTCCCACCTCACTAAATTGTGACAACTCATGAGAACTTTTTTTTTTTGTGAGGACGATTGGCCCTGAGCTAACATCCATTGCCAATTTTCCTCTTTTTGCTTAAGGAAGATTGTCACTGAGCTAACATCTGTGCCACTCTTCCTCTATTTTATGTGTGATGCCACCTCAGTGTGGCTTGATGAGTGGTGCTAGGTCCGCTCCCTGGATCTGAACCTGTGAACCTGGGGCCGCCGAAGTGGAGCGCACAAACTTAACCACTGCTCTGCCAGCCAGCCCCTCATCAGAACTTCTGACTCCCAGTTCAATACCACACGCCCTGGACCACACTCTCTGCCAGCAGCTGTGTTTCTTGAGTACTGGGTGCTTGCTGTGTTGACCGAGGACAGGTTTTTACCTTGGGGGTCTACAAATGGGTTTCAGGAGTCTACGAGCCCCCGAAATGGTATAACCCAAATTTGATGAGTACATATATACTTTGTAAAGGGCAGGGGGAGTCTAGAGTTTTCATCAGATCTTCAGAGCAGTGTGATGACCACCAAATGTAGGAAATGACTGGTTTACATGAGTAATCCAGATATTTCAGGTAAAACCCATCTATTCTGGAGCATGCCGCTTAGCATCTGCCCTCACCAGAGATGCTGTTAGGGGCAGAGCTGACTGTTCAGTGATGTTTGTTTTGTTACTGTGGGCAACCGGTTTATGTAGCCCCGAATCGAAAGTGGGTTTCCTGACACAAATGACGCACTTTGGAGGCAAGCTTTGAGGACTAAACAGAGAAGTTACTGAATTACTTTGGGGCCGAGTGAAGCACAGGTTTGGTGAGAATGTCCTGCCTTCTGGAAGGTGACCCTTTATCCTCTCTCCATTTGCAACCAGATTCCAAGAACCAGGTCTAAAAGGAGAATGTGGCTTCTGCCTTCCACGTTTCAGGCGACCCTGGGCTTGGGAGAAGACCCAGAAAGAGCAGGGAGGCACAGGAAGCGGGACTCCCCTCTGCTTCTCTGCCCGGCTGTTCTGTCCTGTTCCAGCTGAGACTGAAGTCCGTCGGCAGCCACATGTTTCAGATTGAGCTAACTCCTCGCTGCCCTTAGAGGTCAGGAGAGCCACCGTGCTGACACAGGCCTTTCTCCCCCTGGCAGTCTGCCCCACGGCGACTCTTGAGTCATCGAAATCTGGATGACTAGGCTGACAAAAACGAGGTTTCGTGGGGTGAGTCGAACGAGGGGAAGTGGGGTGGCAGGGCAGAGTGATGAAGCAGAACCCTGCCCTTGGAGTCTGAGGCTCCAGGTTCGAGTCCCTGCTCTGTGAACTCGGGCAGGCCGCGATGAGCTCTTTGGGTCTCGGATGAAATTAGATAATGCAAGACAAGCTGCTTAACACGGCAAAGGGCGCCAGTCTGTGCTCCGTGGAAGGGATCATGCAGGACCCCCACTGAGGCAGAGGCTGGCCCAGCCCGGGACGTGCTCATCCCTGACCCTCACAGTGAAGTGTCTTCACAGGTTGTCTGTGGAGACCAGCGGGGTCCCCAGGCCTGTGGAGATTTGCGTCCCTGGTCATTTACTCAACAACTGTTTCTTCAGAGCCGCGCGCTGGGAGACAGTGAGGAGGCCTGAGGAGGCACCTGCTCACTCTAGAGCTCAGCTCTCTGCACGCAGGCGGCCTCCGCCAAAACGCCCAGTGGTTGGCTGCCAGAGGGAGCGCTCAGCCCTGCGGGCCTCTCAAGCCGGGGGCGGGGTTCGAGCCTGGAGGGGGAGGAAGGAGAGGAAGGTTTGGGTCGCAGTTCTCTGTCCCTAGGTGGCAGCACCAACTCAAGACTGCTGCCCCGCCGTCCTGGCTGTTGGCTGGGACTCAGATTCCCCCAGGGCGCTCAACCGTCAGCTATAGCTCCAGCTTTGGAGGCAACAAAGGTGAGTTTGAGCCCCATCTCTGCACTCCACTGTGTGACCTTGGGCAAACCATGTAACCTCTGAGTCTGTTCCTTTATCTGCAAAATGGGGAAAGGAATGGTTCCTAAAATAATCCAGTGAACAATGAGGCAAATGTTTGATAAGTGGCAGCCGCTCTCCCCTCTGCCCCAGCAAGGAGACGGGGCAGCACAGCCCGCTTACTCTTGCACACATCTCCCTATTCTGCACCTTTTTTCTTCTTGCAAGACAGCCCCCGAGGCTTCTTTGAAACGGGCACGGAGATAAACATTCGGGGTGGGGAGTGTGAACGCAGGGGGAAGGTCCGCAGTCTGATTTTTCTGGAAGAGATCCACTTTCCCCCTTCCTTGCCTCCTTCTACCCCTTCTCTAACTCTTCACTTCTTTCTCTATCCGGGGATTTTTATTTGCCAATGTGTGTTAACCACCTGCTCTGTGCGGAGCCCTTGTCTAGGCAGGGACAGGTGGGGAGCGAAGGCTGCGGAGAGCAGGGTCAGGCGCACTGTAGAGCGCCCCCCGCTCAGAGGCGCTCCCATCCTATAGGCACGGAGCTGATCCTCACGCGTGGGCGCTCAGTGCAGCCAGTGGTTAAAACACGGAAACATGGAGGTTCTGGCTGGCCGGTAGCCCTGCCCCAGCGCCCTCCACCCTGCAGCGCGGGGCCTGCCGAGCGCCTGCTCCGTCTTATCAGCCTGGTGAATTGCCCCTGTCTTCCTGGGGACTGCGCCTCTCCACCTCCATATGGCAGCTGCGTCCTTGCCTCCATGGTCACAGTCGGTGGGTCCAGGAATGGGCATCTGGGAGTTTGTATTTAGGACAGAAAATCAGGGCAGCCTCTCTCAGGCAGCTGAAGCTGCGAAGAGATGAAACTTTAGCGTGAAGAAAACTAGTCTTGAGGAAGAGAGAAAAAGAAAGCGGACAAGCAGGGTGCAATGGACAGTTTGTGTCCCGCCAAAATCCTATGTGCGAATCCAACCTGTAGATAGTAGTGTGGGGAGGTGGGCCTTTGGGAGGTGATGGGGTCCTGAAGGTGGAGCCCTCATGAATGGGATCAGTGCCCTTATAAAGGAGACTTCAGAGAGCTCCCTTGCCCCTTCCACCACGTGAGGACACAGGGAGAAGATGCCGTCTATGAACCAGGAAGGGGCCTCACCAGACACGGAATCTGCCAGAATCTGGGTAGTCGGCCTCCCAGCCGCTAGAACTGTGAGAAGTAAATTTCTGTAGTTTATAAGGTGTTTTTGTTATAGCAGCCCAAATGGACTGGGACACAGGGAGAACCAGAGAAGGGAAGAGTCCTGAGGGGTTCCAGTCCCTGGTTCTGGCAGTTCCCGAGGCTGCAGCCACATTCTCAGAGCCCTTTCTGCCACTGGATAGGTCCCCACCTCCCTGACGTCTGTGAGCAGCCCCAGTGTTCTCGAAACATGTTCTCTTTGGCTTAAGCTGGTTCAGGTTGCGTATCTGTCACTTGGAATCAATGCAACAGTGAAGAGAAATGACTGTTGAGAACAGTGGGTCCAGCCAGCACCCTTGCTTTCCCCAGCTGAGACACCAGGCAGCGCTCTCTGGACAACTCAGACTCAGGGTGGCTGATGGCACGCAGCGCGGGGGCTTCACACCACTGTGGACTTGGGAAGGCTTGAAGGAAATCCATGAAGACTTGGGTTTCGTTTGGCACTTGTTTGTTTCTTTCTAATTATTCTGTTTATTCACAGAATTAGGGAGAACCTGAGCCAGCGTCCTGCTTGCAGCCTGGAGGGCACGTGATGGCCAAGAGGGAAAGAGGAGAGCAGGAATTCAGGACTGGGTAGTTTCCATGAAATTCGATGATTGGACTTTTGTGGAATTTACACTCTGAAGTGACAGCAGCTTCTCTGGCCTCTTGACCTCGCCGTGCCTGAGGCAGCTGTAGGAAGGGGTGGAGGGCGAGTAAAGGAAGAGCAGAGAGGAACCAGAGGCAGGAGTGATAATAACACTGGGCACTTTTCCTTCAGAACTTGGCTTCTCCTCTGCAAGATTCACAGGCTGAAGGTGTTTCTCTCCCTCTGGAGGGCACCATGCTGACTCCTCCCTCTGTCCCTCCTGGTCCCCCATCCCATGCAGTCCACCCTGCTCCCCTGCCCTCCCCCACCCCCATCTTCCTGCATTTCCGGAGTGCATTTGTAAAACTCCATTCTGCCCTGGGTGTTCCCATGCTCACCCCTGACCTCGTGAGTTCTCCACAGAGCAGCCAGAGTATCCTGTCCAGGTGACAAATCTGACAGTGTCCCTCAGCTGCTTAAAACCCTCAGTGGCTCCCTTTTGCTCTTAGGATAAAGTACAAAACCTCTACACCATCCAGCAGCTGCCTCTCTCTCTTGCCTTGCCCTCCCCTCACTCTGCTCCAGCCACGATGACTTGGTTCAACTCCTGGTAGGGCCCTGCTCCCTCCTGGCTCAGGGCCTTTGCACCAACTGTTCTCTCTGCCTGGATGCCCTTCCCCTCTCTTTCACCCAGTTAGTTCCCACTCTTTCTTAGGATCTAGCTCATCTGTCCTTCTTTACAAATTCTTACAAATAACCCTCATAGCCCTTATCACAATTTAACTTACCCCAGTGGGAGTGTTTGATTGACAGTTGTCCTCCCAACTGGACTGCAAGCTCCGTGAGGACAGGGAGAGACCACGTCTGTTTCCCTCACTGCTGAAACCACAACACCGCTCACAGGGCCTGGCTGAGTCTTACCTCCTCCTCCAGACCCCGTTCAAACATGTCTGAGAGGCCCTCTCGGGCTCCCCACTCTGTCAGTCCATGAAGCAGAGTGGACCTCTACCATGCATTTATGGTGCTGTGCTGCAACAATTTGCTCACGTGTCTGTCTCAGCCGCAGTGTGTGGACTCCGGGAGGGCTAGGACCACTGCCTTTGCTGTGTTTGTTTCCCCGACACCCAGCACAGTGCTTGGCCTGCAGGGGCCAGCTGTGTGAATAAATGCATCACGGTAAAGACAGGTCCCTGGGCCGGGGTGTCATCCTCCGTAAACCAAGCGGCTGGACCACAGGATTCTGTGTGTCCTTTCTCTCACACTCTGGCTCAACATCACATAACCCTGCCTGTCAGCGCCTCTCTGCTTTGTCACCCATGTGCTTTAATTGTTGCCCTGGCAATCAGCAAACCTCCTGCCACCACAGGTCCTGCGTTTCGCTCTGCAAAGAAAGCCTCACACCTCGGGCTTTCTATAGATTATGCAAAAATAAGCTGTTTAATAGCTCCTTCCTCTGACTCATATTTTTTCCTTAGGTCTTTCTCATGTTTATGCAGCATCTTTCTTTGTTTTCTACTTATTAAGAAGCATTTAAAATACATAAAAAGGTATGAAGAATAACGTAACGGACACCCATGAACACACCCAAGTGCGGAGAGCTGAGGACGTGGACCCGTGGACGTGGGCCTTTTCTTTAGAGAAGAACGAATGCCGTCCGAGGCCTCTCTGGATACAGCCGTGTATTTCCAGGGAACTGAGACAGCGATTTCCAGCACTGCCTCTGGGACAGAGCCAGCGTCTCCGTGTCCAGGCGGGGGCTCTCCTCCTGTGCTCCCTTCTAAGGAGAGCGAGGCTCCTTCTCCCCAAGGCCTCGGCACAGCCTGACCACAGTCCCTTCCAGGACAGACCCCGAGACCCTCTGAACTGAGGGGACCCCAGAGGGGAAGGCATCCAGAATCCCGCTCAGCACAGGAATGCCCTCCCTGCCGTCCTGTCCTGTGGGCTCCGGGAGACATGGCCCTGGGCTCCAAACCCATGGGGGAGGCACCTCAGAAAAGAACAAGGCAAACCTAAGAAACAAGGAGACACGAGCATTCAGGACAAGCTGCAAGTTTTTTCCCTCAGGTTGAGGACTTCTGGAGGTGGACTCATCCAGGAGTTGCATCCCAGAGCTCAGGGCAATCATGCCTTCGTGTCCCTTCAGTGGGCCACATGTCGAGCCAGAGGCTGGGCTTTGAATGTGAATAGGACACGGTCCACAGGCTGGAGGAACTCACGGTAAGTGGATGACTTGAAAGGTTAAGAAACACTCATGATGCAGTGTGCCAGGAGCCACTGTGAAGGGGTACGGGCAAGGTGTGAATGAAGCCTCTGAATCACACTCAGGGCTTCGGGGAAGGCTTCCTGGAGGAGGGGATGCTTGTCCCGCATTGTGAAGGATGACAAGCGCAGGGCATGATGTGTTCACAATGCTTGTGGGGAGCTGCAGGTGGTTCCAGCTGCCTGGCGTGAAGGTGGGAGTGGGCAGTGGTGGGAGAGGTGGCCAGAGAGACATCACAAAGGCCTTGTGTGCTCCTCTGAGGAGTGTGAACTTCTGCAAGCTAGGGGCGGCCACTGGAGGAGTGGAGGCAGGGCAGAGGCCTGAAGGGAATTGGGAAGCCCTGGAAAGTGGTGTGGTCGTGAACTGGAGGAGGAAGAACAAGGAGGAGGGGGTCGCAGGACCAAGGGGAGATGCCACGAGAGTCTGCACAAGGTGATGTCGAAGGAAAAGGAGAGGAGGGAAGATGGTGAGGAGATCAACGCCCAGGGGACACTGAGAAGGAGGGAAGGGAGGTTCTGGGGATTCTCGGCGTTTGGGTTTGGCTGACCGGGAGCTGGCAGTGCCATTCACTGACAGAGAGGATCCCAGAGGAGAAGACCTTGTTGTGGTCTTTGGATGATGGCACAGAGGTGAGGCCTCAATAGAGGGGATAAGACCTCCACAGAATCTCCAAGAGAGAAAGTCACTAGAAGCAGAAAGAAGGTCAGAGAAGGACAAGCAAGACCAGCATGTGGGTAATAGGGCCTCTGACCACACACCCGGTTCCCCGAGGCGACACCCTGGCACAGCTTTGGAGGACACAGCATCCCTGAGGTCCCAGGGCTAGAGACTTGGGTGCCCGTTTTAGCACCAACATCATAAACTCCATGATGGAACTGAACACACCCCTAGGTGTCACCTGTGGGCCTCGGTGACGCAAGTCCGCTTCCATTCCATATGTTCCTATTTTTAGATTTTAGAGGGTTTTGTTGGAAACCAAAGTTATACATAATTTAAGGAAGCAAATAGTCATATGTCAACAACATCAGTTTCTTTCCTCTTTCCCACTCCCTTGAGGTAATTGCTTTCAGTTCTTATTAGATGATTCTCTTGGTATTTACCTCCATAGCTCTACACAAGATGGATATATGGAACCTTCCTGATTTTGTCCCTGTCAGGAATCAGCTCCTGACTTTCCAATGTGGCAGACAAAGATTCAGCTCTGTTAACCCCACCCTCATCTCCACGACACACATGTGCCCACTTCCCACTCCCCCATCCTCCCGAAATGCTTCTATCATATTTGGTTATATCAACTTTCAGCGTTCACATTATTATGACTGGGTTTATGCTACTCACAACTGAGTCACTTGAGGTCACCATGATTTTTCCCCTCTCCTTCATGCCTTTTACATTCCACAGGAGCTGGTAATCATGTCCCCCGACCCGCATTTATTTAGTTCTACTTCGTGTTACTTATCACTGGTCCAACCCCTAATTCTCCCCCAATTATGTAGACCCCCTTGCGAAACTTTCAAACATAATTTCTTCAGTGTCATCTTCTTGATCACATCTTTCCTGGAGCCCTTTGAGCAGCTTTAATCTGAACGGACTGCTTTCTATGCCCAGCCCATGGCTGTCCTCCTGGGATCTTCCTTCCCAGGATCTTGGTGATTCTCATCGCCTGCCTCTCGTTTCCTCCCTTGTTTTGATGGAGCCCATCCTTTAGCAGCTTTCTGGAATAGAGGCTAAGGCAGTACCTTTTTTGAAACTTTGCATGTCATGTGTGAAAATATTTGATAGTCTTCTCATCCTTTTTTCTTTAGTAGTTTGGATATAGAATTCTAGGCAGAAAATGGTTTTCCTTCAGAAAACATTTTCCACAGACTTCATTTCCAGGTTTGATGATAACTCTGGTGACATTCTGTTTCTGGTTTTTGGAAAATATTTTATGAAACCAGTTTTTATCTTTGAAGATCTGTTGGATCTCCTCTTTGTCTCAGTTTTCTGAAATTTCATGGTGATGTCTAATTCAACTCAATTCTCCCAAAAGGTGTTGCGAGCATGCACTGTATAGCTTCTCTCTCTAAATGCTCCGCTGAATACAGAGATACACACAAGTCCTCAGGAGATGGAAATACATGGGGAGTGTGGGGGATAAGGCAAACAGGATATTGGTGAGTATGCAGCATTACACATATAAATACACATATAAGATTTGTAAGGGCAACATTTTTACAAATTGCAAGTTTTGGTATTTCTTAAGAGGGACAAATCCAGGGTCTCAACCTGATGCATTGTGTTAGCAATTTGGCCTTCCCAGCACTCAGCGAACTTCCAGGCTCCCACACCTCCAGCCTCTGTCGACTGGGTGGAAAGCTGTCAATACTCCTGTGATGTGTTGCCTTCCAAGTTGTGCTCTCCCTGCTGGAGCTGTTGTTGGCCTCTAGGGGGCGAACACTGCCACCATTCTGCAGAGCCCCAGGACAGGCTGAATTCAATGCCAGAGGCTCCCTCAAGCTCCTTATACAGGCAGTTGCCACAGAACCAAGAACCAGGGCCCTTTTTCCAGAAGCAATCCCTAAAATGTATTTCTCCTTCCCCTTCAAGGTGCATCTCTAGATACCTATAGATAGAACATACAGCTAAATAGATATAATACATAATAAGCTGCTCAATAAATGGTTTTCTTTGTTTTTTCTTTTTTTTAAGATTTTATTTTTTCCTTTTTCTCCCCAAAGCCCCCTCGTACATAGTTGTATATTCTTCGTTGTGGGTCCTTCTAGTTGTGGCATGTGGGACACTGCCTCAGCGTGGTTTGATGAGCAGTGCCATGTCCGCGCCCAGGTTTCGAACCAACAAAACACTGGGCTGCCTACAGCGGAGCGCACGAACTTAACCACTCGGCCATGGGGCCAGCCCCTCAATAAATGTTTTTCAATGGCTGAATACAGAATACTTCTCTCCATGTGCTGTCTGCCCAATATCTATATAGCTGTCCTCCCCCCGGTGGGAATCAGCCAAGAGACAGCACCACCCTGGTGGCTGCCAGAATTTTTTTTTTTTGAAGATTGGTACCTGTGCTAACATCTGTTGCCAATGTTTTTTTTTTTTTCTTTCTCCCCAAATATCCCCAGTACACAGTTGTATATTTTAGTTGTGGGTCCTTCTAGTTGTGGCATATGGGATGCCGCCTCAGCATGGCCTGATGAGCCATGACAGGTCTGGGCCCAGGATCCAACCCGGTGAAACCCTGAGCCGCCGAAGTGAAGCACACAAACTCAACCACTCAGCCACAGGGCTGGCCCCTGCCAGATTATTTTTATTGAAAACAATTCACACCTTGTCCTGTTTAATTCTTGCAACAACCCTATCAGGCAGGTATTTTTAATCCTCATTTTGCAGATCCAGAAACTGAAGGAGAGAGAGGTGAAGTAACCTGCCCAAGATCCCGAAGCTGACAATGGCAGAACACAGCTTCAGATCTTGAGTAGACTGAATCCAGAGCTCACAATAGATCCCACGGGCTCCAACATAAAAGGCGACCCCAAATACCGCTTGAATCCCAGGTTAGACCCCCTGGGACTTGTCGCCAAATGGAAGCATTGCCCCAGAGGAGCATGTGGGAGAGGCTGCATGGGAGCGAACTGAGTAACCTGTCTTGCTGTTGCTTGTTCTCATGCTAATTAGCTGTGTGACTCTGATAACACAGTGTGACTCTGTGGGCCTCAGTTTCCATTTCAGTAAAATGAAGTGAAGAATATATTCTGCAGGCTTTTGGGAGAGGACCCTGATGACCTAGGGAAGAGAAACAGTGAAGGTCTCAGAAGGTTCCAGGAGAACCTAGGTTCTGTGCTCCCTGGAGAAGGCTGGGAAACACCGTTGGAATTTCAGGAAGACGGGATGTTGACCTAGTGTGGAAATTCTTAGGTGGGTCTGAGTCCCCTTTTCAAACATCCCATTATGATCCAAGACCTCAAATTTCCACTGAAAAGTGGGTGCCTCCAAGCAGCCTTCCCTCTCCTGGGAACCAGTGGTTCTAATTCCACCAGAGGTGCCCACAGGTGGTTGCATGTTGAGGTCCCCTGGGGACCTTTAAACATGCAGATGCCGGGGTCCAGTCTCAGAGACCCTGATTTGGGGTGTGGCTGAGGCATTGGGAATGTGAAGAGCTCAGGATGTGATTTTAATGCTCAACCCAAGTTAATGCCACTGCCCAGAGCTTTAAATTCTTCATTTTGCTCTGAAGGTTAAAAAAGAAAACCAAAGGGAAGCAGTGGCACCCAGAGGCTCTCAAACTTTAATGTGCAAACACACGAATCACCTGGAGATCTCTAAAATGCAGCCTCTAATTCAGTAGGGCCAGGGTGGGGCTGGGCTGCTGCCGTTGGAAGAAACTTCCAGAGCATGCCCACACTGCTGTCCCCAGACCACACTTGAGCAGCTGGGCTGTAGCTTGAATGAACACAAACTCGCTTGAGAATGATGGCTCTTCAGGCAAGCTCAGACCTTAAGTACGAAGTTACTTTCCTTCTCCGAGCTTTTTCGTCTTCTGTAAAATTCAGGTAAGCAATACTAACTACATCCCAGGATTCTTGTGATCCTTAACTGAGATCACGAGGTGGTCATGTTTAGCACAATATAACAATCATTAGCTTGTTAATCCTTAGGGTAGTCAACACTCACGGAATGCTTACTACCTGCCAGGAATTTTCAAGGTGCTTTCATGCCTTAACTGTTCAAACCTCAAAACAACACTCTGAGTTGCGTCGTGCTATTTTATCGTCCTTATTTTCCAGATGAAGACATGAGGCACAGAGAGGTGGAGTACCTTAAGTTACGGTACACACCTAGGAGTAGCTAAGCCGGTTTTTGCACCCAGGGAGACTCTGGGCTCTTATCCCTCCCCAGGGCTGAAAGGGATCAGTGGGAACAGGCACTTCCGCCCTGCAGGCCTGCCTTTCTGGAGGCGAGGACTTGAGGGCTTACCCTCTGGAAAGGGCTGAGCCCAGCAGGCGGCAGCCTAGGGTACATGGGTGCAAAGACAACTTACAGACCCCGCCCAGAGGCAGCGCTGTGCTGGGCCTGTCACCACAAACCCGCCCCCGCTAGATCCTAAACGTCTGCGAGCTCCCCTGCACCCTCCGCCCTCAGGGCCCCGCCCAGGAGGCCGCCCGGGCATCCATCAGGAAAGAACAGCCCTCCCTCCCAGGTTCCAGCCCGAGATCCCCAAGATAGACCATGTCCGCAGGGAAGCAAAGAGCACAGGGAGTTTCTGCGACTGCGTTTTACCCCAGGAGCGCAACCAGACCGGGAGATGCACAAATGTCTGTTTCAGCCGAAAATTCAGGGGGAGTCTGGGAGCCCAGCCAAGCGGGGAAATGTCAGGAAGCCCTCTTGGATTCCCCAGAGCGCCTTTGGGGCTCCGAGCACCGGTGCGCGCGCAGGGATGGGACCCGGCACGGAGGAGACTCCGTTTGGATAGTCACCTCGGAAGGGCAGAGAGACTTATTTGCGGCGTCCCCCGGGAGGCGGCACATGAATTTGAGGGGCCGTGCGGGGAAGGGGGGTTAACCGGCGGTTTCCATGGCGCCCGGGGCGTGTAAGAGGAATGCACCCCAAGCTGTGGCGAAACAAGTGCGCTGCTGGGCCAGCCCGGCTGGAGAAGGCGGGCAGGAGTGGAGGCGGGGCGGGGGGTACGTCGGACTAGATCGGGCGGGGCCGTCACGTGCGCCCGAGGGCAACGGGAGGGCGATGACAGCAGTAGCTCCGGCTCCGAGGACCTTAGCGTGATCAAGGTGAGCAAGTGCCGATGGGCGGTGATCCTGGTGTTCAGCTGCTACTCCATGTGCAACGCTTTCCAGTGGATCCAGTACGCCTCCATCAATAACATCTTCATGAACTTCTACGGGGTCAGTACCGTAGCCATCGACTGGCTGTCCCTGTGCTACATGCTGATCTACATCCCTCTACTCGTGCCGGGCGCCTGGCTGCTGGAGAAACTCGGCCTGCGCACCATCGCCCTCATGGCCGCCGGTCTCAACTGCCTGGGGGCCTGGGTGAAGTTGGGCAGCCTGAAGCCACATCTCTTTGCAGTCACCATGCTGGGCCAAGTCATCTGCTCTGTGGCCCAGGTCTTCATCCTGGGCATGCCCTCCTACATGGCTGCCGTCTGGTTCAGGAGTGATGAGGTTTTAAGAGCCTCCACTATAGCTGTCCTTGGCAATCAGGTGGGTAGAGGATCTGTGGATGTTCAGAGCAATGGGCGTCATGTCATTGTGAGACTGAGTGGCTTAGCTTGTCCCTAACTGTGTGGGTGGGAGCCTGCAGTTCTCTGACTTGAGCAGTGTTTGTGACTCTGGGTGACTGGCTGGGTGTGACTGACAGTGTCAGTGAGTGATGATGACTGGGTGACGGTGTGTGAGAGGTGCTGGGAAACAAAAGGAAGGGACCTTTTCTGTCACCCACAATTTCTCCTCCCCCAGCAGAAAGCATGCTTCTGGAACATATGATGTTTATGTGATCTCATTACTGAACCTGTCAGTCCATCAGCTTCGACCTGTAACTTAGGAAAGCTGTTCTTTCTTGGGGAGCAGCCCTTGGGGGTCAGACTCTTCTGGTGTCATCAGAATTTGGGAGGTGTTTTTAGCCTGAGCAGCCAGCTTTCCTAGAGTCAGCATCTCCCGTCCTGCAGAGAGTCGCGGAGCGGTGCCCTGCTGGTGCTGGGTACTGTTCTTACCTCCTTTTATTCACAGCTGACGCCGGGACAGTGGGAACAAAGCTTTGTGCCAACCTCCTTCCCTGGGGTTTAGAGACTAGTCCAGCAGTATGGAGTAGAAACCTGGCTCTGAATTTCCAAGGCCTAGAAACCTTGGAAAGGCCTGGAAAGTTCATATCTTAATCCCTTCTCTTTCCTTTTTGGAAGGAGAATCTCAAATTCTTTGCATCTCAATGTGGTTATGACCCAGAAGGGTAGGTGAATTATGAATTTGCTGTTTCCTATTATTATTTTTTTCAGTTTTTTCAATTTACACCTTATTGCCTTCCTCTTCCCATGTCCTTTAGATATAGTCACCTATGCATTTGTTTAACAAGTATTTATTTTTTTAAATTATTATATTGAGGTCATATTGCTTTATAATGTGTAATTTCAGGTGAACATTGTTATTTATCAATTTCTGAATATACTTCATCGTGGTCACCCCCAGTAGTCTAAATTTTGTCCGTTATCATACGTATGTGCTCCTTTATCCCTTTCACCCAATCCCCCAACCCAATCCCCTCTGGTAACCACTAATCTGTTCTCTTTATCCATGTTTATCCATGTATGTGTTGTCTTCCACGTATAAGTGAAATCATGCATCATGTGTTTTTCTTTGTCTTGCTTATTTCTCATGATATGATACCCTCAAGGTCCATCCATGTTGTTGCAAATGGGACAATTTTGTCTTTTTTATGGCTGAGTAGTATTCCATTGTCTCTCTATACCACATCTTCTTTATCCATTCATCTGTAGAAGGGCATTTGTGTTGCTTCCACATCTTGGCTATTGTGACTAATGCTGCAATGAACATAGGGGTGCATAAATCTCTTTGGATCATTGATTTCAAGTTCTTTGGATAAAATACCCAGTAGTGGGATAGCTGGATTGTATGGTATTTATATTTTTAACTTTTTGAGACATCTCCATACTGTTTTCCATAGTAGCTGCACCACTTTGCATTCCCACTAGCAGTGTATGAGGGTTTTCTTTTCTCCACAACCTCTCCAACATTTGTTGTTTTTTGTCTTGGTGATTATAGTCATTCTGCCAGGTGTAAGCTGATATCTCATTGTAGTTTTGATTTGAGTTTCCCTAATAAATAGTGATGTTGAACATCGTTTCATGTGCCTGTTGGCCATCTGTATATCTTCTTTGGAAAAATGTCTGCTCGTATACTCTGCCCGTCTTTTGACCAGGTGGGTTTTTTTTTATTGTTGAGTTGTATGTGTTCTTTATATATTTTGGATATTGACCTCTTGTCAGATAAATGATTTCAAAATATTTTATCCCAGTTGGTAGGTGGTCTTTTCGTTTGTTCATGGTTTCCTTTGCTTTTCAGAAGTTTTTTAGTCTGATGTAGCCCCAATTATTTATTTTTTCTTTTGTTTCCCTCCCTGAGTAGACATGGTACTTAAAAAGAAGCTGCTAAGACCAATGTCAAAGAGGGTACTGCCTATATTTTCTTCTAGGCGTTTTATGGTTTTATGTCTTACATTCAAGTCTTTAATCCATTTTGAGTTAATTTTTGTGTATGGTGCAAGATAATGGTCTACTTTCATTCTTTTGCATATGGCTGTTCAGTTTTCCCAGTACCATTTATTGAAGAGACTTTCCTTTGTCCACTGTATATTCTTGGCTCCTTTGTCAAAGATTAGCTGTCCATAGATGTGTGGTTTTATTTCTGGGCTTTCAATTCTGTTCCATTGATCTCTATGTCTGATTTTGTGCCAGTACCATGCCATTTTGATTACTATAGTTTTGTAGTATATTTTGAAATCAGGGATTGTGCTGCCTCCAGCTTTGTTGTTTGTTTCTCAGGATTGCTTCGGCTATTTGGGGTCTTTTGTCATTCCATATAAATTTTAGGATTCTTTGTTCTATTTCTGTGAAGAATGTCATTGGGATTCTGATTGGCATTGCACTGAATCTGTAGATTGCTGTAGGAAGTGTGGACATTTTAACTGTTTATTTTTCTGACCCATGAACATGGAGTATCTTTCCATTTCTTCATGTCTTCTTCAGTTTCTTTCAATAATGTTTTACAGTTTTCAGTGTACAGGTCTTTCACCTCTTTGGTTAAGTGTATTCCTAGATATTTTATTCTTTTTTGTTGCAATTGTAAATGGAATTGTATTCTTGATTTCTCTTTCTGCTGGTTCATTGTTAGTGTGTAGAAATGCAACTGATGTTTTGAAATTGATTTTGTGCACTGCAACTGTGCTGTAGTTGTTAATTATTTCTAATAGTCTTCTGATGGATTCTTTAGGGTTTTCTGTATATAGAATCATGTCATCTGTAAACAGCGAGAGTTTCATTTCTTCCTTTCCAGTCTGGATTCCTTTTATTCCTTTTTCTTGCATAATTGCTCTGGCCAAAACCTCCAGTACTATGTTGAATCAGAGTGGCGAGAGTGGGCACCCTTGTTCTGTTCCTGTTCTCAGAGGGATGGCTTTCAGTTTTCCCCCATTGAGTATGATGTTGGCTGTGGGTTTGTCATACATGACTTTTATTATGTTGACGTACTTTCCTTCTATACCCATTTTATTGAGAGTTTTTATCCTAAATGGATGTTGGATCTTGTCGAAAGCTTTCTCTGCATCTACTGAGATCATGTGGTTTTTATTCCTCATTTTGCTGATGTGGTGTATCACATTGATTGATTTGTCGATGTTGAACCATCCCTGCATCCCTGGTATAAATCCCACTTGATCATGGTGTATGATCCTTTTAATGTATTGCTCTATTCAGTTTGCCAATATTTTGTTGAGGAATTTTGCATCTATGTTCATCAGTGACATTGGCCTGTGATTTTCCTTCTTTGTGTTGTCCTCATCTGGTTTTGGTATGAGGGTAATGTTGGCCTTGTAGAATGAGTTATGAAGTGTTCCATCTTCTTCAATTTTTTGGAATAGTTTGAGAAGGATAGGTATTAAATCTTCTTTGAATGTTTGGTAGAATTCTCCAGAGAAGCCATGTGGTCCTGGACTTTGTTTTTTTGGGGAGATTTTTGATTACTGTTACACTGTCTTTACTTATGATTGGTCTCTTTGGATTCTCTATTTCTTCTAGATTCAATTTTGAGAGGTTTTATGAATCTAAGAATTTATCCATTTCTTCTAGGTTATCCAATTTGTGGGCATATAGTTTTGCATAGTATTCTCTTGTAATCCTTTGTATTTGTGCAGTTTCTGTCATAATTTCTCCTGTTTCATTTCTAATTTTGTTTGAGCCTTCTTTCTTTTTGTTTAGTGAGTCTGGCTAAGGGTTTGTCAATTTTGTTTATCTTCTGAAATAGCCAGCTTTTCATTTCATTGATCCTTTCTACTGCTTTTTAAAAAAATCTCTATTTCATTTATTTCTGCTCTAATTTGTATTATTTCCATCCTTCTGCTGACTTTGGGCTGTGTTTGTTCTCCTTTTTCTTGTTCTATTCGGTGTAGTTTAAGACTGCTTATTTGGGATTTCTTTTCCTTGTTGAGGTAGGCCTGTATTGACATAAATTTCCCTCTCAGCACCACTTTTGCTGCACACCATAAGAATTGGTATGTTGTGTTTTCGTTTTCATTTGTCTGCAGGTAATTTTTGATTTGTTCATTGACCCAATGGTTGTTCAGTAGCATGTTGTTTGAGCTCCACCTATTCGTGACTTTCACAGCTTTTTCTCATAGTTGATTTCTAGCTTCATAGCATTTTGGTTAGAAAAGATGCTTGATATGATTTCAGTCTTCTTCAATTTATTGAGACCTGCCTTGTTTCCCAACATATGGTCTATCCTTGAGAATGTGCCATGTGTACTTGAGAAGAATGTGTATTCTGCTGTTTTTGGATGGAATGTTCTCTATATATCTATGCTCAAGTGTTTCATTTAAATCCACTATTTCCTTGTTGAGTTTCTGTATGGATGATCTATACATTGATGTACATGGGGTGTGGAGGTCCCCTACTATTATTATGTTGCTGTCAATTTCTCCCTTTAGGTCTGTTAATAGTTGCTTTATACACTTTGGTGCTCCTGTGTTACGGGCATATATATTCATAAGTGTTATGTCCTCTTGGTGGAGTGTCCCCTTGGTCATTATATGCTGCCCCTCTTTGTCTCTCATTACCTGTTTTGTCTTGAAGTCTGCTTTGTCTGATATAAGTATGACAACATGTGCTTTCTTTTGTTTGCCATTAGCTTGAAGTATCATCATCTATCCCTTCACTCTGAGCCTGTGTTTGTCCTTAGAGCTGAGATGTGTTTCCAGGAGGCAGCATATTGTTGGGTCTTGTTTTTTAATCCATCCAGCCACTCTCTCTTTTGATTGGAGAATTCAATTCATTTTCATTTAGAACAATTATTGATATAATTACTTATATACTTAATATGTGTATCTGTATAATATATCTATAACAGATTAATGGCATAATACTGCCATTTTATCTCTTCTTTGCTGGTCATTCTATATTTCTCTTCTTTCTCTTCCT